AAAAATTGAAAAGCATCATAGGAATAAAGCTTTTTCCCCCCTCACTTATAACTTAGACTATGGACCATCTGTAGCCCAAGTCTAATAATCAAAGGAATCACTTTTCACAGTGGAAGATCACCCTGGGTCTTCATGTTGTGCAAAAGTCTTCCTGCTCAGGTTTATCAAAAGAGTAAGTGAATAGTGGTCATGTATGGCATCAGGGATTATATACAAAACTATATATAGGTTATATATGACACTTAATTTATTTTTAATTTAATGAAAGAAATAACTAAAAGGAAACTAAAGGAATGGCTAAACTCTAAATAAATCTTGATTATAAGATATTATTTTCTAATACACTCCCCTAAGGTTAAGAAAAGGGACTACAAAATCCACTAAGAGGTTAGTATCCTTGGGGCTTTTTAACTAGGTCACCCAACTTAAGATCATATCATTTCTCTTTTCTCTAATAGATGAAGTCATTTGCATAGTATCATTTCCCTTGCCCAACCTCCTGATTTTTTAAGTTATATTTTTATATTTTCAATATGTAATGATTTACATTATTTACTTTAGCCTAATTTTTACACTTAAGGTAATATTCATTTTATATTTAAGCAAAGGCACTGCTCCTTACCACTCCTTTTGCCACAGCTACCTCATTCCTGCATTATTTTGATTTTATGTTTCAGGGGGCTGAAGTTTATGGTCAAGTAGGTTTTTTTTTTCTCTAAGAAAGGCTCTTAAGTATTGGTAACCCTTCAGAATTATTGTTTTATTGCTCACCTTATCCTTGAGTGACATCTGAGCTGGCAATAATACCCTTACTTCACACTTGCTTCAGAGCTGCTTTGTAGCCTCTTTTTCCCTCATGTTAGCATATTCAGTGTTGACCTGAGTTGTCTGATGCCAGCCTGAACTAACACCTTTGTAAATGACTCACTCTAAGCCTAGAAGTTTAAAGAATTATTCCTTTATTCCAGAATTATTGCTGTTGAGCATTTTGTGTCCATTTTCCTAGAATATGATGAGGGGATTTTTTTAATATGGACTTTCTCTATCTTGCCTTTCTTCATTTCTGTGAAATGAGCCTATTACTTCCGAGAGAAGTCCCTTTCCTATTTCCTCTATTTCTTCCCAACAGTCATTTTCATCACACTATAGCCAAAAGACAAATGATAAAATCACCCACTCAGTCATCTTTCTCCACATGGGGTCGGGATTCGGTGGACTTAACCTCTGTGGCTCCCAAGGAGCAGAAGAGAGAGGAGTGGACTGCCGTGTTCTGCTGTGGCATCATCCAGTTTGTTTCCTCTGGAGTCACCTGTTTCTTTCCTGAGCATTCATATCTGGTAATCCTCACCAGATAATGGACTGAGCCTTTTCTATTGATGATTATTTTTGTTGGCTCTTGACTGCTTTATGTTACCTTTCTTACACAAAGACGTAATCTGTAAGGCAGTGTTATCCTTCCATCTTAATATAGCTATTCCTAGAATTTATATTCTTAAACTCGCTTGATAATTCACAAAGTTCAAGATCAGTGATTCATGGATTCTTGTGTGCAACAGTACTCACTTTTCACCACCTTGGATGTGCACAGTGAGGCAAAAGTAGATTTGCAGTTGTGAGTATGCAAAACACACAGTTTATTCTTGTATTAGTATCTATTAATTATTGTATTATTTTCCATATGACCAACTATAATCTCCTTTTACCCCACCCTGTTCTTATTCCCTCTGGGATTCAGTGTGATGTCATCTGCCACAGGAGAATGAGATCTTCCTGGCTTCGCCTTATTGTGAGGTTGTAGCAAGTAGACAAATGAGGTAATTGTAATAATAGATTTCAGAAAACTTTCTCACCCTCGAGAGAAGTGTTATTATTGCAGCTTCCACTTTCTCCATGCACATTAGTCTTTAGTGTTTGGGTAATATAACAGCAAAACTAGTTACCAGATTTTTCAGAGATTTCATTCTCTGCTGTTTTACTACAGTAGCTATTACAGTGGATAAATTAAAAATTCCTTCTTCTGTTGTGTTGCTTTTTACAGAGATCTAAATCTTTGAAAATACCCTGAATGGCATAAATTCAATGATTATTTTTACATGGTTGATTGATTGATAACCTGAAATCCCACCATAAGGGAAGACTGGTAGCTGAGAGAGAGAGAGAGAGAGAGAGAGAAAGAGAAGAAAAAAAAGAAAGGATGAAGCCCAGAAAGCAGTAAGTTGTTGTGTATCTACTTACAATGCTGTCCATACTGGATAGATGATTACAGAAAAGAAAGTAATATACAAGGATCTCTTTTTGGTTCTACCCCAGATGCATGGAAAGTGAGAAATGAACACAGCATGGCCATGTAGGCTTTAACACATAAATGAAGATGATAAAAGATATTAAATAAGTGTTTCCAGTAATTCCTAAAACCAAAAGCTGTGTGCTATTTTATGATAACCAGGGGAAGCCCACCTTATCCTATGTCAAATTACATTCTCTGGGCCCTTTCAGAATCCAATAGCTTTATCTTTATACTGAGATACAAGCAAAATTTTAACAGATGTATTTCTTTTTATGTCTGAGCTTCTTAGGATTCTGCTAATATGGCACCTACCTACTGAGTTCAGAGGTTGCTAAACTTTCTTCTACCAAGACTTTATCTCTGTTTCTTGCTTTAGACTTTCCATCTCAGAAAGATCATGGAATACATTCAACTTTCTAAGTGTATTTGTCTTTACTCTCTGAAATCCAATGCCACTTCTTAGTAAACATCCTTCTCTGTTCCAGCTTCAGGAATCATCATGCCCCAGCTTTCCTCAGACAGTCACAGTGCAGGTCCATTAAAGAGGCACCTTCCAGACTTCTGGCCAAAATGGAAGCAATAGGTAGACACACTGTGCTTCCTCAAACAACCAAGATAGAGACAACAACAATTTAGAAACAGAATAACAACCAAAACTGATAGAAAATTGATCTGAATGGAAGTCGGACAACCAAGAAAATAGGCGCATTCATCCAGACCAGTAGGAGGGGCGGAGTCGGGCAGCCAGACATGGGTCGCTGAACAGAGATCAGAGAGCGTTGGGACCGGGCACGTAAAGCATCCAGGGCACACAAGACCATAACAGGTGGACCCTGAATGTGCAAGCGACAGCTGGCAGACCATGGCCAAGGGATGGCAACCGGCAGACCCAGAGAGGCGGCAATTGTGAAGCAAGGCACTTTGCACAACCCAGGGTGGGAAACAGAGCCTTGGGGCACTTACTGAGGACACCTGTGGGGATTGAGGAGCAGGGAGGGACTCCCAGTCTCTCAGCAGAGGTCCTTGGAGGGTCCCACAGAGTGCACAAGTCCACCCACATGGAATTGGTACCAGAGGGGCCCAGTTTACTCGGGGAAAGCAGCAGAAGGGACTGAGGTCCCACAGAGAGCGTAGCAAGTGCCATTGTTCTCTCTCCACCCCACCTCCACACACAACATCACAATCCAGCAACTGGAGTGCCCCACCCTGGTAAACACCTAAGGCTCCGCCCCTCATACATAACAGGCGCAACCAGACCAAATGGAAAAAAAAAAAAAGATGGCTCAAACAGAATTGAAAGCCCCACAACCAATTTTTTTAAGCAACCAAGAGATAGCCAACCTATCAGATGCACAGTTCAAAGCACTGGTGATCAGGATGCTCACAGAATTGGTTGAATTTGGTCACAAATTAGATGAACAAATGAAGGCTACCATAAGTGAAATGAAGAAAAATGCACAGGGAACCAATAGTGATGGGTGAAAGCTGGGTCTCACATCAATGGAGTGGACCAGAAGGAAGAAAAAAACAACCAGGAAAGAATGAAGAAATAAGAATTCAAAAAAATGAGGAGAGGCTTAGGAACCTCCAGGACATCTTCAAATGTTCCAATATCTGAATTATAGGGGTACCAAAAGGGGAAAAGAAAGCAACAAGTGGAAAAGTTATTTGAACAAATAATAAAGAATCCCCATTCTGGCAAAGGAAATAGACTTCCAGGAAGTGCAGGAAGCTCAGAGAGTCCCAAAGAAGTTGGACCCAAGGAGGAACACACCAAGGCACATCATCATTACATTATCCAAAATTAAAAGTAAGGAGAGAATCCTGGAAGCCGCAAGAGAAAAGGAGACAGTTACCTACAAAGCAGTTCCCATCAGACTGTCAGCTGATTTCTCAAAAAAGACCTTGCAGGCAAGAAGAGGCTGGAAAGAAGTATTCCAAGTCATGAAAGGCAAGGACCTATATCCAAGATTGCTCTATCCATCAAAGCTTTCATTTAGCATGGTAAGGCAGATAAAATGCTTTTCAGATAATGTGAAGTTAAAGGAGTTCATCATCACCAAACCCTCATTTTATGAAATGTCAAAGGGATTTATCTAAGAAAAAAGATTTAAAAAACATGTATAGTAAAATGACAGCCAACTCACAATTATTAACAACCACACTTAAAACAAAAACAAAAAGAAACTTAGCAAACAACTAGAACAGGAACAGAACCACAGAAATGGAGATCACATGGAGGGTTAGCAACAGGGGAGTGGGAGGAGGAGAGAGGGGAAAAAGGTATGGAGAATAAGTAGCATAGATGATAGGTAGAAAATAGACATGGGGAGGGCAAGAATAGTATGGAAAATATAGAAGCTAAAGAACTTATGACACATGGACATGAACTAAAGGGGGGGAATGTGGGTGGGAGAGGGTGTGCAGGGTGGAGGGGAATGAAGGGGGAAAATGGGACAACTGTAATAGCATAATCAATAAAATATATTTTTTAAAAAAAGAGGCACCTTCCCAGGTCATGATATCAAGGAATCTGGAAAACAGCCTTGGGACACTTCATGGTGCCATATGAGTGTAAGATCCATGTATAGAATGAACCACAACAGTAGGACACAGAAAATTTTTGCTTAAAATGACAACATATTTCAAAGTTGGATATATTTTATTTACAAATAACACTTAGATACAGAGGTTAACCAGATGTCTCCCAAGATCCCCAATGTGTTAGCACAAACACACCAGAGAAGAAAGAAAGCATGTGTCTGTGTTTCTGTATGACAGCAATGTCCAAGATTGGTTATATCCAGAAGGCTTAGTAGATATAGTGTCAGAATAGTTGCAAACTACAAGCATTGGGTTTATATTTTATTTATGAATACTCTTAAATAATTTTCCTTAATACCTCCATTCCTACTATCTACACTGTTCAATTATGTCACATCAATGATATTCCATCAGCTCAGCTTAAACTCATTCTTTAACTGTCATGAGTTGTGTTAAAAATTTTTATGAATAACCCATATTTAAATTTTAAGCCCTCTGCTTTCTCCCACAGCCATTCCCCCTGTGAATTTGTTCCATGTGTACATAATGAGATAGTCTAGCAGAGCTGATAAGAGATTGTGTTCATTTATGTATCACTATCAGTAGTATCCATTCTGAAAAATACGTAACATTGGAATTTTACAAATATGTCTTAATACAGTCATACTTTATATGCAAATACTGGGCTTTTAAAAAAACTATCAAATGTAACCATTGATACTCTGAAGCCAAATGTTTATTACACAAGTCAAAATCTTCCTCTTCACTCAGTAACACCAATTCAATAACTGTTGTGAAGCCCAGGAAATGGGACTCCAAAAACTCCAGAAAGATCTGCATTATCCACATGGAAATGAAGCAGAAGTCATACTGTTGCAATAAGGAGCTTTATTCATACACGCATACATCATTGTCACTGCATTCACAATACTGTCACTTTATTGTTCCCACTGTATTTTTATGCTTCAGAGAGTTTTTTAATGGCCTCTCCATTTTAATTATTAATCATTTCTGATATATATGATTTTCATAATCTCAAGAAAATAATTCTAATTTGTGAATGGGAAAAGGAAAGTTCTTATTAGCAATGCACTAGGGCAAATGCATAGCCTGATGGCAACATGGCATTTATAGGCCCCACAGACCTTTTTAGAGACACTGCACCTCAGAAACAGACCACAGTGCATCTCTAGGGTGGAATCTACAATTCTAGTGGCTACTGATGGGGCTGGTAAAGAACTGAGTCATTGACAGCTTATGCATATTATAGATGTACTTGTCTTATTTTAATTTTGAGATGAAAAAAATCCACAATATTTCCAAATGATTTCTGCACAGAGAGTAAACACCAATTATCAAACAACTGAAACTAAAAGATAGTTCTTAAAAAGCTACACTTCTCCTTTTTAAAAAGTAATATAAATATATGCCTTGATAAGATCCAGTGTTAGACTTTGCCTCTGCTTAATTTGACCTTCAACTCCATATTTGAAAGTGACTGAAACTTCATTCTTTCCCTTTTCCAGAAAGTCTTTAAAAATATAATGAACACAGTACTATACTCGGTACTACAGCAAAAGGGGCTGCTGGTGAAGGTCACAGAAAGAATACATAAAAGGCAGAAGTAAATAAACAAGACAGAACTATTTTGTTAAAAAGAACTTTAAAAATAAATTGTGCTGCAAAACTACTTTTGCAGTTACAGTGTCTTGTTTCACCCCACAGTGTGTCAAAGGCACTGCATTAATATAAACAGAATCATCTAATGCACTTTTTGAAAACAGTGCTTCTGAACCAAGGGCTAGTATGAAATCATTTTACAGCTAGGGGCCAATGACACTTTGGTTTGCTTTACTGGCAACATTATGGCAATGCATCCTATACTAAGAGGAAGTCTGGAAGACAAGCATATGACAAGCGCCAGATCCACTGTGTTACTTCTTTTCATGCTTCTTGGTCAATTCCCCCACACCTAGCTGGAAGTTGCCCCGGTTATCACTGTTTCTCTCTTCCTTCAGCCGACTCTCCTGGGAGACTTGTCGCACAGCTTGCAGGATGGCATTCTGCACAATCTGTTTGCTGGCTTTCTGCAACCTCACCTCTTCAGGCTCATTTCCAGTTTTCTCACCTAGACAAAAATATGAAAGTAGGTGAAAACAACAAAATTAAATTCAAGAACTGTGACAGGAGGGGGCAGGTAAGAAACGTTAAAGGGAAGGTGAGCCTATAAGAATGTGCTGGGTGGCCCAATTAATTGCGAGGAGCCTTCTGTAGCACATACCACTCTTGCTTCCCCTTCTCCCAATCCAGTAGGTTCTGCATTTGTTTGCCCCAGTAATGTGCCCAATATATATTCTCATCTTCCCAGACTCCTCTGCTGCTAGCAGTAGTCATGAGACATAGTCTGACCAATCCCTGATCTAGAATGGTGGGAATTTTATAATTAGAAGACAAGGTAATCCACCCACCATTAACTCTCCCCCTTTTTCCTTAGTTAAAAACAAGACAAACCCTTAATTTTAGTTGGTCACCTATGTAACTAGGTATAGGTAAGTTCTAACCAATGGGTGGAAGTTTGTTTAGTGAAAATTCTGTGAAAGGTTTTTAAAAGGGAATAGGCAGATAGCAGTCCTTTACCCTCTCCCTATCTTGCTGCCTGCATCTCTGGCACATAGTTGTCATCATCACAGGGGCTCTTGCTAACCATGAGGGGACCTTTAGAATGGAAACCATGTTCATGGATTTTGAAAAAACAATTAGAAGGAGCCTGAGATTCCAATGACCATATAAGACCATATTAGTCCTTGGCTACTCACCTCTAAGCCACTTTTGTGTTAGAATAATACATCTTATTTAAGGCAGTATTACTTTGGATTTTCTTTTACTATGCAGCAAACATATTACTAACTCATACACAGGAGAATGATCATGAATCTAGCATTTGACTACAGTGCAACTGTGAAAATTTTAAATTCCTCCTGCTTATATTTATAGTGACAAATAAAATGGGCATAGTTCCTTACTCAAAATCATTCTTTCAGATGTTTCCTCTATTTAAATACACTACTACCACGAAAGTGCATTATAAATGAGTGAAGGGTGGTTTTCACCAGAACTGATTCATGAACAAGAGAATTTATACACCCATTGGAGCAATATCACACAAGAGAATATTGAGTCATTCTGAAACCAGACAGCTCTTATCCCTTTAGACATATAATTGTCATTTATGCAGCATTTGTGCCACTAGAACCATCTCTTGAAGTATTTACAATCTAATAAATAAGGCAAGAGGAATCTATTCAAAACCAGAGAACAATACTCATTTTGTTCCCTTCCCTCCAAAAGTGAGAGAAAATCCTCAATCTGCACCAAACTGAGCAGAGAATGAGTTCAGAAGTACGAGGTATAACAGACTGAAACTTTAAAGCAGCAGAGAAGAATCCTTTAAATATTTTCTGTAGAAAAAGAATGAGTAATAACATTAAGAGGCATAGCAATTAAGAATGAGAATTTTAAAATACTTCGGACTGAGTCCAGGTTTCCTTTCTGACACTTAAAGCCATGTGATCTTGGGCAAGTCACTTTGCTTCTCCAAGCCTGCTAGCACCCCTGTAAAAGGGGCAAGTAGTACCTATTTTAGGATGGTTGCTAGAGAATTGAGTGACATAGCAACTCTCCAGCACTTAGTGTACTTCCTGAGCACTTAGTGTCCACTGTTGTGCATTGGTTGGGGTATAGTGTAGGCTGTTGTAACAGAGAAACTCAATTCTAGAGAAGCTCACAGAAGGGAGAGATATTTATTGCTCTCTCATGTAACAGCCCCAATGTACCCCAGTATACAGGCAGGTGTGCTCCACCAGGTTACCTAAGGACTCTACCTCCTTCTATCTTGTTGCTCTGCCATTTCCTACTATATTGCCCACTGCACGAATGGAGCTGGTTAACTAATATGCCATTGGGGGCTGGAAGGCAGCCAAAGTAAAAATGGAAGGCAAGCAGTTTCCTTTTAAAGAATTGTCATAAATATTGCAAACATTACTCCATTCACATTCTATTGAGGGAGACTGAGTCATGCAGTGGTCACACCTAGCCACATGGGAGGCTAGAAAACATGTCAAGCTGGGCAACCATATATCATACTAAAATTTAAGGAAGTTTTAATGCTAAAACAAAGAAGCAATTAAGGATTTTAAAAAATTACTTCCATACAGGGGCCAATGCTCAATTGAAAAGGGAAGGTATGTACTTGGAGCAGGTCAAATCTGAGCCTCAGAGAGCTCTGTGTATCCCTCAACAGGATAAGTGTGTGGACAGACAATGTCTGATGTGTTCATGCTTGCTCTTGGAAAGAGTATCTCTGCATAATAGGGATGTTTTAACTCTAAAAGACCCTGTAGTACAGTAATTTTTCTGTCTTTGGATGGAGGAAGAAAGAATGTAGAGATAAGAGTAAGCTGATTCCTTAATAATAGATAAAGAAAAGAAAATCCACTCTAAATTTAGCTGTGGCCTTATATTTGAGTTAAATTGTCATGTTCTTATTCATCCATTATGAATAAAAATTGATAAGAAAGTCAAAGTCATTCTGTTCCAAGCTATGCCAGTAGATCTCTTTAGTGAACTGCAAGGTTGGTTTAGACCTCACTGTTCTTATTACTGCTTTACTCTGAGTCACAGATATCTATCTATCTGCAGTGGAGCATGTGGAACAAAAAGAGGGCAACTAGTTGGAACAGAGAAAGAGAGGAGTAAAGTTGATGATAAAAGCCACCCAGAGCACTTAGACAATAAAAACAAACAAAATTATATACAGAACCACTCAAGACCCTGAATAATCAAAGCAATCCTGAGAAAGCAGGAGGCATTGCACTTGCTGATTTCAAGCTACAATATATTATAAAGCTATATTAATCTAAATAGAATGGTACTGGCATAAAAACAGACACACAAACCAAAGGAACAGAACCAAGAGCCCAGAATAAATCAAAGCATATATATTCAACTAACATTTGACAAGGGAACCAAGAAAACTCAAAGGAGAATGCAGATGTAAAAGAATAAAACTGAATCTATATTTTCTATCACTAACAAAAATTAGCTCAAAATGGATTAAAGATGTAACACACAATCTGAAACCATAAAACTCCTAAAAAAAGCCTAGGAATAAAGCTCTCTGACACAGGTCTTGGTGACAGTTTTTTTGATATGACACGTAAAGCACAAGCAACAACATCAAAAATAAACCAGTAGGGCTACATAAAACTAAAAAACTTCTTCAGAGTAAAAGGAATTATTAGCAAAATAAAAAGCAAACCTACAGAATGGAAAAAATGTTTTAATATTCAAAATATATAAAGAACTTATAAAACTCAATAACAGAGAAACAAATAATCCAATTAAAAATGGGTAAAGGAGCCATGATTGGTGTGGCTCAGTGGACTGAGTGCCAGCCAGTGAACCAAAGGGTCACAGGCTCCATTCCCAGTCAGGTCACATGCCTGGGTTGTGGGCTAGGTCCCCAGTAGGGGGCGCTTGAGAGGCAACCACACATTGATATTTCTCTCCCTCTCTTTCTCCCTCCTTTCTGCTCTCTAAAAATAAAAAATAAAAATAATAAATAAATAAAATCTTTTAAAAAATGGGCAAAGGACCTAAGTAGACATTTTTCCAAAGAGGACATACAGGTGGCCAGCAGATACATGAAAAGGTGCTCAACTTCACTAATTATTATGAAAAGGCAAATCAAAATTACAGTTAGATTATCATGTCATGCCTGTTAGAATTGCACTCACCAAAAAGGTAAGAAAATGCTGGCAAGAATGTGGAGAAAGGGGAACCCTTGTGCACAATTGATGGGATTATACATTGGTACAGCCACTATGGAAAACAGTATGGAGCTTCCTGCAAATATTAAAATTAGAAACACCATACAATTTGGCAATTCCATTCTGGGTATTTATCTAAAGGAAAAAAAATAACTATCTAGAACAGATATCTACACCTCCATCTTCATAGAAGCATTATTTACAATGGCCAAGACATGGAAATAACCTAAGTGTCCATCAGTAGATGAATGGATTTTTATAAAGCATGGTATATAATGTACAATGGAATACTATTCAGTCATAGAAATAAGGAAATTCTGCCATTTTTCACAACAAAGATGCACCTTGAGGACATTATGCTAAACAAAATAGGTAAGACAGAAAAAGACAAATACTGTATGATCTCACTTAAATGTGAAATCCATACAAAGCCTTATAGAAAAAGAGATAAGATTTGTGGTTACCAGAGGTGGGTGATACAGAATGGAGGAATTGGATGAAGGAGGTCAAAAGATAGAAACTTCTATTTTTAAGATAAATAAGTAGTGGAAATTTAAAGTACAACATGAGGACCATAGTTAATGCTGTATAGCATATTTAAAAATTGCTAGAGAATAAATCACAAAAGATCTCATCACAGGGAAAAATTCATTTTTTCCTCTATTTATATGAGGTGATGGATGTTAACTTGTAGTAATCATGTCACAACATATCTAAGTCATTATGCTGAACACAACTTTTACAGTGATTATGTCAATTGCATCTCAATAAAACTGAAAGAAAATGCTGTGTAAAACACAGATACTTACTGTGTGTTAGGCTCTTTGACATGCAATGAAAGATACTCTCTTTTGGGGGTTCGGGCAGTTACTGTGGGGATACATGTGTCATAGATATCATAGAAATATCTGGCTGAATCTTGTGTATTACAATTCAGTAAATGGAATAATCCAATATAACTCTAGTAATCAGATTATCTAGATTATCCTCTGCCATTAGAGAGTTTCAACTTTCCATCAGCCACTACCATCTAACAATTCTCTTTTTCTGAAGTCTCTCTGACTTCATGGCATTTAGTACACTTGTTTCTGTTTATTTGTGACTTGTAGTGCTTCACGAATTTACCTACTTCCTCCTGTCTCAGAGCAGTCCAGCTAAGGGTCTGTTAGCAGTTGCCTGACTTTTGCCAAACCTTCAGTTGATATTCCTGAAAGAGAACCAGAAAGACTCAGCACACCACCATTATTCCTGAAAATTTTTCATGCCAGGCCATCTCTTAGGCCAGCCACAGATTGAATGT